CTGCCGGAGTGGTAGGGGTGGGTTTGGATGTGGGTGTATCTGGGGGTTCTGCTGGATGGTAGCGGAGTGTACGCTGGGTGGTATGCTGGAGGTACTGTGGAGTGGTATTTCGGGGAGTGGTATGGGAAAGTATGTGGAGTGATACTGCGGGAGTGGAAATGCTGGGGTATCCCTGGAGTGGTACTCTGGGGGGTACGCGGGAGTGTACTGTGGATGATATCCCGGGGAGGGTCTGCGGGGTGATATGCCGGAGTGGTTTTGGGTGATATGCTGGAGTGGACTGTGGAGTGTCGCCTGGGGGTACCTTTGGAGTGTACTGCCTGGGTGGTACTGGGAGTGATACTGCGGGGTGGTAGGGGAGGTACCCCGGAGTGTTTTTCTGAGGGGTTGCGGGGTAACTGCTGGGTTACCCTGGGTGGTCTGCTGGGGGTTCGGAGTTTTTTGGGTTTTTTTCTGCCGGGAGGGTATGCTGGGGTACTCCCCTGGGGGGCTTCGGGGTTGGGGGGATGAGTGGGGTATTTCCGGGTGAAACTGCTGGGTGGTACTGCATGAAGGGGGTTACTGCGGGTGAAATGCTGGAGTGGTCTGCTGGAGGGGTACTGCGGGTGTATGCGGGAGGGGGAACTGCGGGGAGGGTACTGCGGGGAGCGGTACTGAGGAGTTTTTGCGGAGTGGTACTGCTGGGTGGTATGTGGTGTATCCCTGGAGGGTATGCTGGAGCGGACGAGGGATACCCGGGAGTGGTATGTGGAGTGATCTGTGGGTGGATGCTGGAGTGTACCCCTGGGGGACGAGGGTGGTTGCAGGAGGTACTGCCTGGATGGTACTGCGGGAGTTTTCTGCAGGGTGGACTCTGGGTGTTTTCTGGCATATGCCCGGGGGGCAGTGACGCCAGAGGTATCCTGCAGTATCTCTTGTTCTGAAATTTTTTTTTCCCATCTACGTTTAAGTTGCGGTCGCAACATGTGGTGAAGATTTTTAAAAAACCTCTCTTAGTCCCCCAGATTTTAACCTCTTAGTCATGGATTTTAAAACCTCTGCTCGCATTTTTAAAACCAAAGACCCAAGGTTATGTTTTATGCGTTACAGTATTTGTAGTTCAGTAGGTTATGATCCCCGGGGGCATTAACGTAAAGGGCATTCGCTTATTTTGAGATAAAGATCAGCAAAATTGATGTTATTGCTTAATTCAACGTGGGACGTGGATCTATTTTTCCGCAGAGTTAAATTTGGGGAGGGCAGTCCCAAAAATCCCTTGTCAAATGAGGGGGGAAACCCCCAAAAGGGTTTTTCAAAGTTAAGGGGTGACAAACCCCAAAAGGATTTATTCAAGTTAAGGGACGACAAAATCAAGAGGATTTTTCTTCAAAGTTAGGGGAAAACTTCAAACAAATATTCAAGGTTTTTAAAAAATGAACACCTAAGTACCCCTTTCCCCCAATTTTTCCCTTTAAATCACCGTGTTCGCTGAAAAAACCCAAACAGGTGAAAGTTTTGCAGGAGGATAATGCAAATTTGCACCTGCACGTTTTTCTCATATATTTCATGGTCTCTGGGGATTGCGGGCCCCGGCAGAGAGAGAGTTAGTGATCAAACTTTAAATCCAACCCTGCTATTTTCACAAGAAAAAACCCCTAAAGTCGGTAACCCCAGGACCTATTTATGCTAGGTATTTGAGGCAAAAAGGTGTTCCAAACACACTCCCCGTCTAGGGCCAAACCAGGATTTTCAGGTCAGTGCTCTGGGCTCTCCCCTTGCCCCCCATAATGTGTTTGGGGTCAAATCCGGAGTTTGTTCAGATGCTTGCTGGTACTCCCCCATTGCCCCCACGTAAGTTGTGTGGGTCAAACCAGGAGTCGCTGTCAAGCTCTGCTGGCTACCCCCAATTTTCCTCACAGTAAGTTGTGAGGGTCAAAAACCGATCCGCTGTCGTGACTCTGTGGGTCTCCCCCAAATTCCCCCCAGTAAATTTTTTAGGGGTCAAACCGGATGTTCGTGTCAGATGACTCTCTGGTTCCACTCTGCCTCAGAATGTTGTGTAGGGTCAAACCAGTGCTTTAGTGTCGATGACTCTGTGGCTATCCCAATCGCCCCAAGTTTTGTTTGTAGGGTCAAAACCCGGATGCTTCAGCTGCCGTGACTTTGGGTCTCCAACTGCCCACAGTAAATGTTGGTGGGTAAACAGATGCTTTGCTGTTTGATGCTTGTGGCTACTCCCACTTGCCCCCACGTAATGTTTGGGGGAGTCAAATCAGGGGGCTTTTAGCTGTCAGTGCCTGCTGGGTACTCCCCCTTTGCCTCACAGTAAGGGTTTTGTGGAGTCAAATCCAGGGGCCTCAGTGTCGATGACCTCGGGGTCTCCCCTCTGCCCTCACGTAATGTTGTGTAGGAGTCAAATCCAGGATGTTCACTGTCAAAGACCTTTTTGGTTCCCAATTTCCCCCATAATGTGTGTAGGGTCAAACCGGATGCTTAGCTGTCAGGACTTGTGGCTCCCCCATTGCCCCCAAGTTTGTTGGGAGGAGTCAATCCCGGTGCTTTAGCGAAAATGCTCGGGTCAAATCCGGTGCTTCACCTGCGATGCTTGTGGGTTCCCCCTCGCCCTACAGTTTTGTTTGTTGGGTCAAATCCGGTGCTTTAGCTGTAGTGATGCTGGTCTCCACCCTGCCTCCGGGTTTTACCATTTCTCTAAGGCGGACCTTTAAATGTGCCCGGGGTTTTTAGCCCCCCTTAAAGCCCTCCCGTAAATTTAAAAACTTCCCCGAAGTCAGGTCCCGTGGATAGTCTGTTAACATGTTTTTGGGGGAGGGGCGTTATTTGACAAGATAATCCTTCTTTTAAAAGGGCATGGGATGTGCTCCTGGAAAACTGAAAACCCCGGGTTGTCCGAGTCTTCAGGCCTTCAGTATTCATATTTTGACAAAGGGAAACTCCGTACCCGTGGAAGTTTTTACTGTGTAGATACCCCCGACCCGCTGGAAAGTTATATCTGGTAAGAAATCCCGTACCCCTTTGGAAAGTTTAAAATTTTGTGTACTCCCTTCTGCGGGAAGTTAATACTGGGTAAGACTCCGTACCGTGGAATGTTATATCGGTAAGGGACTCCCCGTACTGTGGGGAAAGTTAATTTTCGTGTAGACACTCCGTACTGTGGAATGTTATTACTGTGTAAAGGTCTCCAGTCCCGCTGGATGTTTTTAAAAGTGTAAGACCCTCCTTAGTGGATGTTTATACTGTGTAAGACACTCCAGTCATAAACCCCGGACCGAAGTCACAAAGCATTTTATCAAACTAGAAGCCAGTGTGAGCAAACACGCGGGTTTGTCTAAAAACCAATTGTTGGGTGGGAAACAGGTAATCATTTAGATTTTATTACCCGCTAAATTTTTCAGGCCCAGGGAATTACCCGGGCCCTCGCAGTTACTGCCCCCGCCTGGTCCATTAGTACCCTGTTGCCCCATTTTTTTCCCTGGATATTTATATTTATATTAAAATATTATATAATAATATAATTTTATATTTATATAAAATTATTAAAATAATAATATTTATATATATTTTTTAAATTTATATTTATATTTTATATAACAACACACCACCCACCACAACACACCCACCCACCACACACAACAACACACACACAACCCCACACAACACAACCGCAAACCCCACCCACCACACACAAAACAACCACACACCCAACACACGACACCGTTCGTGTTATGTTGTGGTGTGTGTGGCCCAGAGCGGCGGCGGCATCTGTCGTAAATTGCATACATTTACCCTTTGCCAATTTATCTTGTATCCCATTTATCGTCTGCCAATTTGCATTCCATTTATTGTCTGCCAATTTCACTTGTATTTCATTTATCGTCTGTTTGGTGGCTAGTAATATAGTTAGTAATATAGTTAGTAATATAGTTAGTAATATAGTTAGTAATATAATTAGTAATATAGTTAGTAATATAGTTAGTAATATAGTTAGTAATATAATTAGTAATATAGTTAGTAATATAGTTAGTAATATAGTTAGTAATATAGTTAGTAATATAATTAGTAATATAGTTAGTAATATAGCTAGTAATATAGTTAGTGATGTGGTTGGTGGCTAGTTTGTGTATGTGTGAGGGTGGTCGTATCTTAAGGGTAATAACTACCATGGTATTTAGTGGTATTAACGACTGTGTGGCACCTTGACACCTGCGCCATGACAGTACACATGTGACCACTAACAACCTGTGTCCCTAATTAACGTAGACACATTATAATTATTACATTAGTCGTGGTACCTACCTACTAGAGTTGCATGTCCTCGTAATTACCAACATCCACGTTCAACCAGTGAACAATAACGTAAATAACGTACGTTGGTTTGCGTGCAGCCAGCAGCAACAGCCTGGTTGATCAGGCTCTGATCCACCAGGAGGCCTGGTCACAGACCGGGCCGCGGGGGCGTTGACCCCCGGAACTCTCTCCAGGTAAACTCCAGGTAACTAAGATATCTTACCTATTTGTGATTGCAGGGGTTGAGTCACAGCTCCTGGCCTCCTCTTCACTGGTTGCTACTAGGTCCACTGTCTCCTTGTTCCATGAGCTTTATCGTACCTCTTCTTAAAGCTATGTATGGATCGTTGTGTGTGTGATTTAGGGGGTTTAAAGCCTATCTAGTACACGAGAATAATTTAGGCTGCAATATTACCTGTTCACCACCAGTCAGGAATACATGTTACTGAGATATACACCTCCAGGTGCATATATCCCGTGTATGAAGGTGTGTATAAAGTATATTTGTTAGTAACGACTGAGTTATACACCTCCAGGTGTATATATCCCATGTATGGAGGTGTGTATAAAGTATATTTGTTAGTAACGACTGAGTTATACACCTCCAGGTGTATATATCCGTGTGTGGAGGTGTGTATAAAGTATATTTGTTAGTAACGACTGAGTTATACACCTCCAGGTGTATATATCCGTGTGTGGAGGTGTGTATAAAGTGTATTTGTTAATAAGAGATGTTATTCTTCAACAGAGATCTAAGTCATAATCAACTAACAGTAGTGGGGAGGAGAACATTCAGAGGAGCACCTAACATCAACAACCTGTAAGTTACACTACTGTATACTCCTGTATATTTGTGTATACCTCTGTATATCTGTGTATATTTTTAAAGTATTTTGAATAAACTTGAATGGTGTATATACTGTAATATCTCTCTCTCTCTCTCTCTCTCTCTCTCTCTCTCTCTCTCTCTCTCTCTCTCTCTCTCTCTCTCATAGTTTCCGCCTCGCTTATCCGTCTCCGGTCGGCTCTCTTTTATCCGGAAGTCGGAGATTTTCTCTCTTGTCTCATTGCACACGACCTTCCTATCCCTGTCTCTCATTATCACTCACTGTCTCTCATTATCTCTCACTGTCTCATTATCTCTCACTGTCTCATTATCTCCCTGTCTCTCCCTCATTATCTCTCACTGTCTGACATATATGTTCATCTCTCACTGTTTCAGACTGTCTCATTATCTCTCACTGTCTCTAATTATCTCTAACTCTCCCACAGACAGTTAGACAACAATCAACTAACCTGTATTGATGACGTAGCCATTAAGAACCTTAACGACCTGCAGGTCCTGTAAGTACCTTGTTCTACACTGTTATTACTTAACTATATTATACTGGTGTTCTTATCCTGTTGTTCTTCACTGTTATTATCTTCCTGGCTTACCCTAGTTGTTCTTATGTTCACTAAGTTATAGATTTCTGTGTATATACACTGAGAAATATACATCCTTGGATGTATATACACTGACAGACATACCAGTATGTATATACACTGACAGACAGACATACCAGTATGTATATACACTGACAGACATACATACCAGTATGTATATACACTGACAGACATACATACCAGTATGTATATACACTGACAGACTTACATACCAGTATGTATATACACTGACAGACTTACATACCAGTATGTATTATACACTCACAGACCCTACATACCAGTATGTATATACACTGACAGACATACATACCAGTATGTTTTATACACTGACAGACTTACATACCAGTATGTATATACACTGACAGACATACATACCAGTATGTATATACACTGACAGACATACATACCAGTATGTATATACACTACAGACATACAATACCAGTATGTATATACACTGACAGAAAAATATTTCCGTATGTATATTTCACTGACAGACATACATACCAGTATGTATATACACTGACAGACATACATACCAGTATGTATATACACTGACAGACATACATACCAGTATGTATATACACTGACAGACATACATACCAGTATTATAACACTGACAGACATACATACCAGTATGTTTATACACTGACCAGACATACATACCTGTATGTATATACACTGACAGACATACATACCAGTATGTATATACACTGACAGACATACATACCAGTATGTATATACACTGACAGACATACATACCAGTATGTATATACACTGACAGACATACATACCAGTATGTATATACACTGCACTGAACAACTGTATCCACCCCAAAAATACAACAACAATATCCTAGACCTCAGGTAATTAAGTAACTACAATAGCCAATTAAGATTTAATTACCTTTAATAATAAGACTCTGGCTGGTAATTAGGTCAATTTAGAAGTGTTTAGTGGCGTGTCTGACGCCACTAAGTTAAATGACACTCGTATCCGGCGCCGGATGTGTCCACGATACATAAGATTTTGTTGGGATTTTTAACCCTGGAGGATTAGCCACCTAGGAAAACCCGGGTAGGAAGGGTTAGCAACCTAGGATAACCTGGGGTAGGGAGGGTTAGCAACCTAGGATAACCTGGGGTAGGGAGGGTTAGCCACCCAGGATAACCTAGGGTAGGGAGGGTTAGCAACCCAGGATAACCTGGGGTAGGGAGGGTTAGCCACCTAGGATAACCCGGGTAGGAAGGGTTAACAACCCAGGATAACCCGGGGTAGGAAGGGTTAGCAACCTAGGATAACCTGGGGTAGGGAGGGTTAGCCACCCAGGATAACCTAGGGTAGGGAGGGTTAGCAACCCAGGATAACCTGGGTAGGAAGGGTTAACAACCCAGGATAACCCAGGGTAGGGAGGGTTAGCAACCCAAGATAACTCAGGATAGGGAGGGTTAGCAACCCAGGATAACCCAGGGTAGGGAGGGTTAGCAACCCAAGATAACTCAGGGTAGGGAGGGTTAGCAACCCAAGATAACCCAGGGTAGGGAGGGTTAGCCACCCAGGATAACCCAAGAAAGTCAGTGCGTCATCGAGGACTGTCTGGTGAACGGGACAACAGGTGTAAGGAAACACGAGCAAGGTTTCCACCCATGCCGGGAATTGAACCACGGACTTTCAGTGTGTGAAGCGAGAGTGTTGCCAACCAGGCCACGGGCCTGTGGCGTGTGTTCCTCTCACTGCCCATGCAGAGGATACTGGTAGTTAGTGTGGTGGTGGTAGTTAGTGTGGTGGTGGTAGTTAGTGTGGTGATGGTAGTTACAGTGTGGTGGTGGTAGTTACAGTGTGGTGGTGGTAGTTACCCGTGTGGTGGTGGTATTTAGTGTGGTGGTGGTAGTTACAATGTGGTGGTGGTAGTTACAGTGTGGTGGTGGTGGTAGTTACAGTGTGGTGGTGGTAGTTACAGTGTGGTGGGGGTAGTTAGGGGTGGTGGGGTAGTTTTCAATGTGGTGGTGGTGTTTTCAGTGTGATGGTGGTAGTTAGTGTTTGGGGGTGGGAGTTACAATGTATGGTGGTAGTTAGTGTGGTGGTGGTAGTTTTCAATGTGGTGGTGGGTAGTTTCAGTGTGATGGTGGTAGTTACAGTGTGGTGATGGTATTACAGTGTGGTGATGGTAGTTACAGTGTGGTGGTGGTAGTTGTGTGGTGGTGGTTTGTTACATGTGGTGGTGGTGTACGGTGATGGTGGAGGTACAGTGTGGTGATGGTAGTTACAGTTTGGTTGTGGTGGTGTTACAGTGTGGTGATGGTAGTTACGTGTGGTAATGGTGTTACAGTGTGGTTGGTGGTTAGTGTTGGGGTGGTAGTTAGTGTGGTGGGTGGGTAGTTACTGTGGTGGTGGGGAGTTACAGTGTGATGGGGTAGTTACAGTGTGGTGATGGGGAGTTACAGTGTGGTGATGGTAGTTACAGTGTGGTGATGGTGGTTACAAGTGTGGTAATGGTAGTTACAGGTGGTGGTGGTAGTTAGTGTGGTGGTGGTAGTTACAATGTGGTGGTGGGTTTAAGTGTGATGGTGGTAGTTACAGTGTGGTGTTTGGGAGTTACAGTGTGATGGTGGTAGTTTCAGTGTGGGGATGTAGTTACAGTGTGGTGATGGTAGTTAAGTGTGGTGATGGTAGTTACAGTTTTGGTGAGGTAGTTACAGTGTGGTGATGGTAGTTACAGTGTGGGATGGTAGTTACAGTGTGGTGATGGTAGTTTCATGTGGGGGTGGTGTTCAGTGTTTGGGGATGGTAGTTACAGTGTGGTGATGGTATTACAGTGTGGTGATGGTAGTTTACAGTGTGGTGATGGTAGTTACAGTGTGGTGATGGTAGTTACAGTGTGGTGATGGTAGTTACAGTGTGGTGATGGTAGTTACAGTGTGGTGATGGTAGTTACAGTGTGGTGATGGTAGTTACAGTGTGGTGATGGTAGTTACAGTGTGGTGATGGTAGTTACAGTGTGGTGATGGTAGTTACAGTGTGGTAAGACACTATATTTCTTAGCTACATAATGCTCAGTATTTCTCTCTCTCTCTCACTCTCTCTCCTCTCTCTCTCTCTCTCTCTCTCTCTCTCTCTCTCTCTCTCTCTCTCTCTCACTCTCTCTCTCTCTCTCTCTCTCTCTCTCTCTCTCCTAACATTATACAGTCATGTATAATTCACTATCATTTGTCTCAGAATTTACAAATCCTGACTTGTATACTTCATAATTTATACACAGCCAAAATAGGCATACAAATTACCATATACATCATGTATACACATTATGTATACGAGAGAAGGTCACTCGGGCAGTGGCTTAGTTGTATTATGTATGTGTGTATGAATATTAGGTTGGAGGTGTATGAATGTTGTATTACAGGTGAGTGGTTAGTTGATGCTGGTGAGAGATCTTCATCCTTGGAGATGGAGATAGCCTTTTCTTCTTCCTCGGATCAAATATGAGTTCTTCCCATGCCTGGCCGAGTCACTGCTTTTCCTTAATAATGATAATAATAATAATAATAATAATAGTAATAATAATAATAATAATAATAATAATAATAATAATAATAATATCAATAATAATAATAATAATAATATTTATAATAACAATGGTAATATTTGTTAATGAGTCAGACACAGGTGTTACACCTGTGTCTGACTAATTAACCTGTGTGTGTGTGTGTGTCTGTACTTACTTATAGTTTCAGGGGTCGATTCACAGCTCCTGTGTGTGAATATATCATTAAGACAGGTCAGTTCACCTTGTGTTTACACACGTGTGTTGCAGAACTCTCAACACCAACAACCTGACAACACTACCCAGGGAACTCTTCGAGAGGATGACTGGACTTCGCAGTGTTCGCCTCGCTGACAACCCCTTCATCTGTGACTGTCGTCTCTCCTGGCTGGGTCGCTGGCTCAGGAGACACCCTACCCTGGCACTCTTCACTAAGTGCCACGCTCCGGCTACCCTCAGGGGCAAGGAGGTAGCCGAACTACATGACTCTGACTTCAGGTGCCCAGGTCAGTACTTGCTTCTTCTATATATATATATATATTTATATATATTATATATATATATATTATATATATTATATATATATATATATAATTTGGTATCTTGGTCTTTGTCTTAGATGCATTAAACGTCATATTTGCGTTAAACGCAGTTTAATTAGCCGCCACAGGTCACTGATAATTCACAGACGAAACACTGCAGGACATTTCGGTCTGATCGAAACTCTTATCAGTGTCCTCACTGGACCGTTTTCAAGATACGATTGCTGTGAATTGACACTGGTCCACTCTCAGGTGTGAGTTGTACCAGTCAGGGTATTGTGGGTTAGTTGTGAATTGTACCAGTCAGGGTATTGTGGGTTAGTTGTGAACTGTACAGTCAGGGTATTGTGGGTTAGTTGTAAACTGTACCAGTCAGGGTATTGTGGGTTAGTTGGGAACTATACCAGTCAGGGTATTGTAGGTTAGTTGTGAACTGTACCAGTCAGGGTATTGTGGGTTAGTTGTAAACTGTACCAGTCAGGGTATTGTAGGTTAGTTGTGAATTGTACCAGTCAGGGTATTGTAGGTTAGTTGTAAACTGTACCAGTCAGGGTATTGTAGGTTAGTTGTGAATTGTACCAGTCAGGGTATTGTGGGTTAGTTGTGAACTGTACCAGTCAGGGTATTGTAGGTTAGTTGTGAATTGTACCAGTCAGGGTATTGTGGGTTAGTTGTGAATTGTACCAGTCAGGGTATTGTGGGTTAGTTGTAAACTGTACCAGTCAGGGTATTGTGGGTTAGTTATGAACTGTACCAATCAGGGTATTGTAGGTTAGTTGTGAATTGTACCAGTCAGGGTATGGTGGGTTAGTTGTAAACTGTACCAGTCAGGGTATTGTATGTTAGTTGTAAACTGTACCAGTCAGGGTATTGTGGGTTAGTTGTGAACTGTACCAGTCAGGGTATTGTAGGTTAGTTGTAAACTGTACCAGTCAGGGTATTGTGGGTTAGTTGTGAACTGTACCAGTCAGGGTATTGTGGGTTAGTTGTAAACTGTACCAGTCAGGGTATTGTGGGTTAGTTGTAAACTGGACCAGTCAGGGTATTGTGGGTTAGTTGTGAACTGTACCAGTCAGGGTATTGTAGGTTAGTTGTGAATTGTACCAGTCAGGGTATTGTGGGTTAGTTGTAAGCTGTACCAGTCAGGGTATTGTAGGTTAGTTGTGAATTATACCAGTCAGGGTATTGTGGGTTAGTTGTGAACTGTACCAGCCAGGGTATTGTAGGTTAGTTGTGAATTGTACCAGTCAGGGTATTGTGGGTTAGTTGTGAACTGTACCAGTCAGGGTATTGTAGGTTAGTTGTGAACTGTACCAGTCAGGGTATTGTGGGTTAGTTGTAAACTGTACCATCCAGAGTATTGTAGGTTAGTTGTGAACTGTACCATCCAGAGTATTGTAGGTTAGTTGTGAACTGTACCATCCAGAGTATTGTAGGTTAGTTGTGAACTGTACCAACCAGGGTATTGTAGGTTAGTTGTGAACTGTATCAGCCAGGATATTGTTGGTTAGTTGTGAAGTGTACCAGCCAGGGTATTGTAGGTTTGCTGTGAGCTGTACCAGCCAGGGTATTGTAGGTTAGTTGTGAATTGTTGCAGCCAGGGTATTGTAGGTTAGTTGTGAATTGTACCAGTCAGGGTATTGTGGGTTAGTTGTGAACTGTACCAGCCAGGGTATTGTAGGTTAGTTGTGAATTGTACCAGTCAGGGTATTGTGGGTTAGTTGTGAACTGTACCAGTTAGGGTATTGTAGGTTAGTTGTGAACTGTACCAGTCAGGGTATTGTGGGTTAGTTGTAAACTGTACCATCCAGAGTATTGTAGGTTAGTTGTGAACTGTACCATCCAGAGTATTGTAGGTTAGTTGTGAACTGTACCATCCAGATTATTGTAGGTTAGTTGTGAACTGTACCAACCAGGGTATTGTAGGTTAGTTGTGAACTGTATCAGCCAGGATATTGTTGGTTAGTTGTGAAGTGTACCAGCCAGGGTATTGTAGGTTTGCTGTGAGCTGTACCAGCCAGGGTATTGTAGGTTAGTTGTGAATTGTTGCAGCCAGGGTATTGTAGGTTAGTTGTGAATTGTTGCGGCCAGGGTATTGTGGGTTATGAATTGTACTATCAGGATATTGTGCGTTAGTTGTGAATTGTTGCAGCCAGGGTATTGTGGGTTAGTTATGAATTGTACCAGCAGGGTATTGTGCGTTAGTTGTGAATTGTTGCAGCCAGGGTATTGTGGGTTAGTTATGAATTGTACCAGCAGGGTATTGTCGCAAGAAATGATTGGTGAATCAGAAACACAGGGAATGACTGGGGAATCAGGTATATAAAGAATGTCATTATGGTGGCTGGGAGAGCCATCAGTGTCACACAGTTATGCCATTACTATTGTTTATAGGTTACTGATAAGACTTAATGCTGCAGCCTGCAGAGATGATCTGATGGTGGTGGTGGTGGTAGGCACTGGTGGTAGGTAGTGGTGGTAGTAGTAATGGTAGTAGCATTCTTTGACGATTTCTTACATGATTCATGGTGGATAATGTTAGGAGATATTTCTATTCTATGGTAGCAGTGGTAGGTAGTGGTGGGGTTGACGTGTATGTGTTGGGTGAAGTGTATATGTAACCACTCCAGTGTACAGTGTTGTAAAGTACAGTGTTGTATGTAGCAGTGTTGTGAAGTACAGTGTTGTATGTAGCAGTGTTGTGAAGTACAGTGTTGTATGTAGCAGTGTTGTGAAGTACAATCTTGTATCTGACAGTGTTGTGAGGTACAGTGGTACTAGTGGTACATGGAAGGTCAGGTTACAGTGGTACCAGAGGTACATGGTATGTCAGGTTACAGTGGTATGTGTGTGTGTGTGTGTACTCACCTATACGTTGTTGCTGGGGTTGATTCTAAGGGAGAGTGACAGGTGTGGGAGAGTGAGTGTTGTTGTGTTAGAGTGACGATGGTGTGCGCGAGGGATGGTTGAGGTGTGAGGAATGTGGTGAGTGATGGGTGGGTGATGAATGGATGATGGGTGGGTGATGATCGAGTGATGGGTAGGCACGATAACCAGGCTTACTCCACCATAGTAATTGCTGCCTTCACAGGTACACCTGATTACCTGCCCTCTGGGTGGCAACCTTAACCTCTCCCCCACCTCCCCCTCATCTCTTCCTCTCCTCTTCCCCACCTCTTCCTCACCTCTCTCTATCTGTGTCCCTTTCCACCACCATGGAGAAGCACTAAACTCCCAGGTCACTGGCCTGGTGAAGGCTGGATGAGGTTCACCACCCAGGCATCCATCTTGGAAGCAAATATAAACAACGAATATTGTTGAACATGGGCAGCATCCTGCCTAGCCAAGCTATAATACACGAGGGCCCCGCTTATACAGCAGGTTAGGGGCCAGGCTGCTGTGTACAGGAGGGCCCCGCTTATACAGCAGGTTAGGGTCCAGGCTGCTGTGTACAGGAGGGCCCCGCTTATACAGCAGGTTAGGGTCCAGGCTGTTGTTACGGAGGGCCCGCTTATACAGCGGGTGGGGTCCAGGCTGGTTACGGGGGCCCCTTTATACAGCAGGTTAGACCCAGGCGCTGTGTACAGGGGGGCCCCCCTTTATCAGCGGGTTTGGGTCCGGCTGCTGTGTACAGGAGGGCCCGCTTAACAGCAGGTTAGGGTCCAGGCTGCTGTGTAAAGAGGGCCCCGTTAACACAGGTTAGGGCCCAGGTGCTGGTAAGGGGGCCCCCGTTATACAGCGGGTTTGGGAAACCAGGCGCTGTGTACGGAGGCCCCATTATCAGCGGGTTTTGGGCCGGGGGCCTGTTACAGGAGGGCCCCCCTTTTTTCGCGGTTTTGGGTCCAGGCTGCTGTGTACAGGAGGGCCCCGTTAACGCGGTTAATCCAGGGCTGTGTACAGGAGGGCCCCCCGCTTTTTTCAGAGGTTAGGGTCCAGGCTGTGTGTACGGAGGGCCCCGTTTTATACCGGGTTGGGGTCCAGGCTGGTGTAAGGGGGCCCCGTTTTCAGAGGTTAGGATCCAGCTGCTGTGACAGGAGGCCCACTTTATACAGCGGGGTTGGGTCAGGCTTTTTTGTGTACAGGGGGGCCCCCGTTTCAGCGGGTTGGGTCCAGGCGCTGTTACGGGGGGGGCCCCCCACTTATACGCAGTTAAAGTTCCCAGGCTACTGATGTCAGGGGGGCCCCACTTTACAGCAGGTTAATTTCCCGGCTATGATGAAAGGGGGGGGCCACGATCAGCATTGGGTTTTGGACTGTGCTGTAAAGAGAAGTCGCGTAAAGTAAATACCTTTTTTTTCACTTTCAATTACTTAACCCTGATAACATGTTCATACTATCAAATTAAGTGACAGTAGAATGGCCTAAACAAACAATAAGTACACACATTATTCCTTTAAAAATTTTCCCCTTTGCTTATAAGTGAGTGGTGAAGTATTTATTGTAGGGGAAATCTAAGCGAAGAATGTGTAAATTAAAAAACCCCTGCTTAGCAAAAACCGAAAACTTTGCGCTGTAAAATGGGGGTCACATGTATGTTTTGACAGTAACTGTATGAAAAAAATGGAAAAATACCGACGATTTTTAGGTAAGCAATATGCAAGTTAGGGACTTTTTTTCGAAACGTTTTTTGCTTACCAGTAGGGTTCTTCAGTCCGTCAGAAAAGTTGATAGAAGCAGAAAAACTTGAAGCGATTAACAGTCCATCACCCTTAAAATTTTAAGCTCCATCCTTCACTTCAACTTTATTGTTTAACTATGGAACAATGCTTTCTCCAGCAGAGGGATGACCACCCCAAAACTTTAAGGGGGATGGACTGATTACTCGTCTTCAAGTCTCTTCTGTTTTCAACTTTTTTGTACGGACTGAAAAGCCCACTGTGTAGGGAAACGTTTTGAAATAAAAAATACCCACTGTTGATATGTGTCTTACCCAACGTTACTGTATCTCGTTTTTAAAATTTGTA